TTTTTTTTTTTTTTTTTAAAACTTAAATAACATATTTTATATGTTGAAAATTTTGGATCCAAAAGGAATGTAATTCGCATAAATGGGGGTAATCCAAGTCTGTCGAGGCCACAACTCAAGAACGGGTCCGAGAAGCCCAAGAGTCTTTTGGCTCACAATTCAGAGGGCTATATTGCTCAGTAGCGGAAGTTGACCCAACTTAGTTGGCTCCTTCCTTTATCAGTTTAGTTGTTTCAGATCAGGGCTACCACCTAAATTTGATGCCTCAGGGTGTAATTGTTTATGCACTATAATCCAATTTAACTAGTTTTTTTACTAATAAAGTGGACTAATAATACTAGTTTTTTACTAGATAAGATTTATCTGCTCCATGTGCCCCACCCTCCCCATTTCACATGTTCTGCAATGTGGTAAAGTGCCTTGTCGGCCATTCAGTACAATAGCTGATTACATTAAAAAAAAAATTTGTCTAAAAATTAATTTTGGTTCCCATGCAGTGAAACTATCCATTCCCATGCACTGAGTTCATGTTTTATTTTATTTATTTTTTCCTGATTCCACCAAAAGTTTTGGGGAGAAACAGTGCATGGTTATTTCTAACTAGTCAATCATGCCCCTGTTATAATGAACATTCCCATGACTGATATAAAAAAAAAAATGGATAAGAAAAGCCAGTAATAAGAATAAGAATTTGGCTGAAAATTCATTACTAAATACATTCTGATGGAGGTACACAAACATTGACATAAATTTGAGGGAGCACAAGAACGAACAGGAAACAACAATTCAAGTCCTAATATATTTTAGTACAACTAGAAGACATGAAATTCAGAAAATAACCCAAAATAATAAAAAACAAATTGGGCAAGCGATTACGAATGTTGTGAGATAAGTAGACGAGGGTGTGTTCGTCATGGAGTTTGTCGTTGCGGTCGACGTGCCTCCAGAATGTGAAACATGGTCACTTTGCATGCTACTTTGTGCACCATCTCGTGTAATGCCGTGAGTGTTGAAACTCTCTTGTGAATAACCTTCTCAGTTCAAATCAGGTGCTCATATGAAACTTCTATGGTGTTGTTGGGCAACTGGACATCGGAAAAAATACTTACCATAATTCTTTTCGGTACGTGTCATGAAACGCTTCATAAGATCGGCGGCCTTAAGAGCACATTGGCGGTCGGGGAAACATCTTCTACTTATTTCTTTTTTTGTGGATGTAATGTCTTTAATGAGCCCAATTTATAGAATCAGAAGTTATTAAAATTATGGAAGTAGAGTTGAACCTACCTGCACTTGCACCCGTGATAAAATTAGCTGTAAAAGGCAATTGCAAAGGAATCTGCCCCATTCTAGTCCTTTCACCTCATTTTAGAAAGTTTGATAAAAGGCAATGTGTTGCCATGTACTTGTTTTTGGTTCTTTGTATTGTAAACTTACTTTTGTTCCTGCATTTTATTTTTTTTTGGGCAAATTTTGTTTATTTTGGTCACTTGTGCTTTTGGTTACTTCATTGACGCATCACTGTGACTAGTAGGGATGTGATTCTTTTAATTTTAATAAACGAGTCCAATAAATTGTTCATAAAATGGTTTTAGTAACGTATCTTTTATGAAGGATTTTTTCAACAACAACTGCAGATTATCGTCGAATGAATGGCCATCAGTTTTTATACATGCGTAATGTATAACGATGTATATGTGTATGCATTGTCATTAAAAAAACACTGTGGGTACCCAAGAGCGCTTGGATGAGATGACTTGGGTCTCTTCCAGCTTAACCAGTGTCTCGT